ACAAAGGAAGAAAAGAAAAGAAAAAAAGTTCAGTCGGTTTAGGATGGAAAGGGAAGTCCCATTTGCCCTACATAGCTGCCTCCAGCTTGTGCATGGATTGTTTGGGGAAGACAATAAGTTTCCTGATCTCAGAGTACGTAGCATAGGCCTACACACTGAACTATTTCGGAACTTCCAAATGCTTTTGACGAATGTTTAGTCGATTGGATCGGATTCCTTGCGGCTTTTCACCTCCCAAAGGAATTAGACACGACAATGGAAGTCGTATCATGCAGCCAAACACTGGCTTCCATCTGTCCTCTGGCCACTCAAGATGCATAGATAGATAGATATATATATATATATATATATATATATATATATATATATATATATATATATATATATTAGATAGATAGATAGATAGATAGATAGACAGACAGAACACACATGCACTTAAACATACACATATATGCATGTTTGTATGTGGGAGTGCTTATGTGTTTGTATGTCTGTTTATATATATCTGCATATCTTTAACTCTATACTGTCTTTAACTCTGTCTGCCTATATATGGAAATATGAATATCTTTACACATATGTGCATATGCCTGTATGTACCATGTATCTATTCGGTGTGATGTAAACGTAAATGTATACATTGTTCCTCATTCGCTCTGTATCCGCATAGATATTGTGTTTTACTGTGAAAATCATCGCAATAACTTCTTGAATTGTTTACATTCATTCTCTGACCTCCACTCCACTGAGCTTTCCAAGACTGCAGTAGAAAATAGGTTTAACAACGGTCTGTTTTCATGTATCTACTTTTGACTATTCCGCGTTCATCGTTCTGCATTTTCTTTCCCTATTGCTTTGTCCTCCGGAAATGGGGATATGAACACTAGTTTCCCCCTTTTTCAGGATCCACTCCATTGCTCTTGGCGTTTCAAAATGGTTACGTCGCTGTCGTCGAGTTATTGTTTGCAAGAGGTTATGAAAGTTTGCAAAAGTTTATTTGTATCATTCGCTTATATTATTTATTCACAGAATGATAATGTGTTACAGGAAATACAATCTCATAAACTAGTAATAAGTAGGATAGGGAGGAATATGGAACTAGGCGAATGAGAGAGAGCATCATTATCATAGTTGTTACTGTTATTGTTATTTCTGCTATAATTATCTTTTTTCCTATTATTATCCTCATCTTAATCTCGTCATCTTTAGTACCAGATTCCTTTAGTTCGCTAAGCATTTGAGGAGAATATCTAATATCTCTGCACTATTCTTATTATATTCTTAAAGAATTACCCTTATTCTCATAATATAACTGGTGGAATTCGATCTGTACGAAGTGTATTTTCTTTTCTTTAAGTTTTCATTCATACATAATTAGTTTATCTATGAGCAAAGTATTTTGAAAATGCAAACTCCCCCCCCCCCCTGTCTATGTCTTTTTGAGTTCGAAAAAAATGGTCAAACATCACCACCAAAGTGTCATCGGCGTCTAAGGTTAAAACATACCTCTGGTAGAAATATTAAAATGTGTTCATAACTTTTAGAAATATCAGACAACACCAAAAACAAACAAACAAAAAAAATCAACAAACAAGCAAACAGAAATAATACAAATAAAGAAAAGGTTATGGGTTACACGGAAAGTATTTGGACATCCTTACATACCATATATACATTTTTTTTTTTCTTTCTTTTTTTACACCGCCCCGTACTTGAATATCGTCATTTCACGGGAGTCCTAGTGTGAAAGTTGGGTGTGCCATCCCGTAGAGTACATCGCAGCGACGATGAGGTTGGATACCGTGCTCTACTTCCCGGGTTGAGCGCCAGCGAAGGGTGGACTGTGATATTCAGAGGCCTGAAGAAAGATTTTTTTTTTTTCGACCAATATCATACGCTGTAAAACCCCATTAGAGCAACAGTAAAGGTAGATGATAGATAATTATATCATATACAAGTATTTCATACATTATTTGTTATTTTTAAGGTAAAAATGTAATGGAAAATAACCGCGATATTTGGGTTCTTCACATATTTACTTGTAGCACACGTATTTTCAGTCCGATTTTAACGTATTATAGCTCATTGTGTAACTGAATAGTAGATCTACTACATGCCGCAATAAGGCTTTGTAATATTTTAAATGTACTTCTTATAAAAGTGACATTTTCGAAAGACCCTTTTGGGGTGTTGAAAAGGTCGCCTTCTTGAAAAAAAGGTTTCGAGATTTTTTTTTTTTTTTTTTTTATTATTATTATTTTTTTTTTGATGGTCAATGAAGGCCTATAGACAGCCCAAATCACTGCCACCCTACCACACTATACATGAGATTTTGAGAAACTGTTACGTGCTGGCAATGTCTGCAATACTTCAGAATGCAGGTAGATGATAGAGGATTATGGTGTAGGAAGGCTACTCTTATACCTTGTTTTGTTAATACCAAAATGATCATGAAAAGATGAGAAAAACGAAAAATGACGATATCTTGAAACTCCACCTTTGGGCGGGGAGCAAATCCTCACGGGCGCAAATTATGTCCAAAATTAACATATTCTCGCATCGAACTGAAACTTCTTTTTTCGCTTCCCTCCCTCCCCCATACCTTCACCCTACTCCTAGTGAACCCTTTATGATTAGCATTATTATTGATTTTTTTTTCTTCATAATTATCCCAATTACTTATTTTCAACAGTAATAATAATGATCAACGTGATACCGGTTCAAGGGCTAACTTAGGTAATCTTCACGAGATCTTCATCAATCTTGCTCTTTCGAAAATTAGCATATATCTCGTCAGTACAAAAAATGAACATTTTGATGATTATATCTAATGTTAATTAGAATAATGATTATTACTATAATGATGATGGTAGCATCGAATACAGCAATATCAACAATGACAGCAATAATAATCTTAATGATAATAATCACACTGATAATAATAATAGTAATAATAACAAAAATATTAATTGTGATAACATAACTGGTTAGAATCATGACAGTCATCATGATTCTAATAAAAATTATAATAGTGATAAGTTAAGGATGATAATAACGAGAAAAAGAATTAGAGTAGGAATATTAAATAAGAAGTTGCGGTGATAATATCAACACCAATAATAATAATAATAATAATAGGGCGATGTGTATTGTTAAGGAAGATGATGAATATGATAATACAAAAATGAGAATAAGGACAGAAAGAAGCAGCAGCAGCAGAAGACAATAACAATCACAGTCGTGATTAAGGGAACTAACACGAATGAGGATTATCAGCATGTCGATAATGAGATTCTTTTAATCTTAATGACATTGCTTTGAAGTTATTGCA